GTCAACTTTGTAATCATAATATTAAACCAAAAGCATGGCTAATACATAATATAAAAACGGAAAGTAGCGTTACAAACCAAACAATCTGTCTTACCATTCAAATTGTAAATGATGTAGCGAATAGTAAAGGAACAAAAAAATAATATTTTAAACATGCAAATAATGTGAGTAGAGTGGAGAATGCAGTTTAAACCTATAATTATTTTAGATGAAAATGTACAGATTTCTTGGTTTTTTCTTTATAATTGATGATAAACATTTGTATGGTACACTTACTTTTACCAAAAAAAAAAAATGCTACACCCCACGAATATTTAAAACTTGAATGGTTGTATATTTTTTTTTGATATAAATTGTGCGGGACACTTGAAAACTACCCTTGAGAAATTTTAAGAAATGCTACTTTTCAAGTGCCACTTTTCAAAAACATCACATTTTCAAAATCTTTGAAAAATATCACTTTTTTAAAATTATTTTTTTATTATATCATTTATTTTTGAGTTAACTATGTTGTATTAATGTTTAGTTTTGAGGGTTTCAAGGGTTATAAGGGTCAAAACATTTTTGAGAAATTTTAAAAAAATGCCACACTTTTGAAATCTTTACAAAATGCCATTTTTCAAAATTATTTTTTCTTTATATTATTTATATTTGGATTAATTATGTTCTATTAGAGTTTAGTTATGAGGGTTTAGGGGTCAAAATATTTTTTAGTATTTAGGATTTTAAGATATAGGGTTTAAAAATTTATAATTAGTGGCATTTTTGCAAGAGAAATTTCAAAAATGCCATTTTTCAAGTGCCATACAAAAATGCCACACTTTTAAAATCTTTACAAAAATACCACTTTTTCAAAATTATTTTTTCTTTATATCATTTATGTTTGGGTTAATTATGTTCTATTAGGGTTTAGTTATGAGGGTTTAGGGGGTTTTAGGGGTCAAAACATTTTTTAGAGTTTAGAATTTTAAGATATAGGCTTTATAAATCTATAATTAGTGGCATTTTTGCAAATGGGCACCCCTAAGTGGCATTCTTGCAAATATGCACACAAAATGTGGCATTTTTGTAATTGTACCTTTTTGCAAATGAACACCCCTAAGTGGCATTTCTGCAAATGTGCACATAAAAATAGCATTTTTGTAATTTCTCCAACATTTTTTAGGGTTTATAATTTCATATTTAGGTTTTAAAAATCCATAATTAGTGACATTTTGCAAATGGGCACCCCTAAGTGGCATTTTTGCAAATGTACATCCCAAAAGTGATATTTTTGCAATTGCCCCAAAACTCTTACCTATCATAAAAATAAAAAATAATTGCAAACGTAAATAAAAAATTTGTTAGCATCTATAATTTATAAATAG